GCGACGTCGCAAACCGAGATACGTGGTTTGGTAGTTTCACCGTCGATATCTCGTTTGCAGTGTCTGAAAATCTCCGCCTTTATGTTATTACTTTAAAAGAGAACAAATTGACATCATTCCTTGAAGTTTTTGCCGAATTTTCTTCGCACAGAGAAGAAAAATCAGGGCCGTTTTAAAGACTTGCCTTTGAGTAGTTTTTCGTGTATAAAATAAAGTATGACAGGAAGTCTGCGACGTCGCAGACCGAGTTATGTGATTGCCGACTTACACCGTCGATATATATATTGACGGTGCAATATTTAGTTCATATATATCGTTCGTTCTGTTTTCTGTTAATGTAACCAAAACTTAAACAAGTTAAATATCATCCGAGTTTCTGAATCGTTACAACAAGGATACTTATTTTACCTTTAATTATGATGAAAACTGGAGCTGAAAGTCAAGAATGATGACACGCAGTCCTACAGCTTTGTAGGCTCTTTTATGTGTTTCACACCAAATGACCGACTGCACTGCGTTTTGCGCAATGCGAGAAGTATTCATGCAGTCTTGTAGGCGCTAATATGGGCGTTACACCAACCGCACTGTTTGGCGCAATGCGTGAAGTATTCCAAAAGCCTTGCAGGCGCTAATATGCGTTTAACGCCGGCCGCATTCGAACTCGCGTGAGAATAATCGCGGCATCGAATAATAGAAGGTCCAAGCTGCGCTTCGACGCCGTATGAGCATTCCAACGTTGCCTACTTTCTTTAGATTAAATATTCATTCCGAGAAAAGTTGGGAAAGTACCTAACACCCACGACTATTATTCAATGTTTCCACTTAATTATTATTAGAAGGTAAGACATCGATAACTTGTCAACGAACTAACCTAAGCTAGCGTTAACATAAAAATGCGTTTATTTTCCAACTATTTCCTGCTTTGCCAAATTAACTTCATTTTAAATTCGCGCATCCCTGTAGCAGGTGTTAAGGTTTCTATTCGCGCAATCCTTGTGCCTTTTTCGCGCAATCCTCATATATTTTCTTAGACCTTTCGCGCAATCCTGGATTACCGCTCTGTCAGTTGGCCCAGCCCAATATATCTCAAAAACCATTGCCGTCAAAGAAAGTACCTTTTGGCTCAAAAATCAGAAGTACAACACAACTTAAAGATTGTATTCTATACTTGAGATGTGTTTTACTGACCTAATATTTCTTGTTGCGGGGCAAATGGCACTGTCAGAACATTTTTGGCATCCTTAAAAGGTTCCGGGTCCTTCCATTTGACAATGACACGCTGTTTGAGTCTTGAAAGAGCGTCGACGATTGCAAGTAACCGAGCCTCTCCGAGCATGTCTTCTTTGATAACGGTGCCGAAACTTACGTAAATCACACCATTCTTAGCTCCATCCATAAAATCTTGCAAGTTCTGTAAAATTCAAATTTAGATTCAAAACTGCAGAACTCTAAACAGAACACAATGTTTCTTGGTTAAGTAAAAACAAATACGAATCTATCACGAGGAAGTTTCAAATTTGTGTTTTTTTTTACTTAAAGAATTCAACCAACAGTTTTTCATTCGTTAAAAAATATTCACAGAAAATTTCTAGGAAAAATTCCTGTTGGAATAACAGAGGTATTCATTGATTTGAGTTATTTGGAATTCACTTTATCACCGTTAACAAAATAATTAATTTACTTCCTCTAAGTAGGTGTGAATACTTAGAATTCGCTGAGTAACTTTCTCAGCGAATGACGTTTGATCGTCTACTGACCTTGGGCAGTTTTTTGATCGGTTTCAGATGCATTCCAGCGACGTCGATCATGTTCGGTGGGTAGGGTCGCGGGTATCCGATGGAAAAATGACTATTGAGCAAGAGTAGAGACACGTTCTTGGCCATTTCCCGTAGCGAAGGCATGTTTTCTGATCCTGGATAGACAAAGTGCTTCCGCAGCATCTTTTCCTGGGCTGGCAGGAAGTACCAATGGTATCCTGCCAGTTCCCACAAGCCAACCACCGTGTTTTCCAGCCTTTCCATGAAGTTCATGGAGTCGCTCAAAGGTAGCATTCCATCAGGAATGTAAGAGAATGAGAACGGGGCACCTGTGTGAAAAGAACCATCATTCATCAATGACGGTGCGAGAAATTAAGTTGTTATCTTAAGTGAGAACATTACCGAAAAAAATACGGGTATCTCCTTCTACATAAATACATACATATAAGTCGCTTTACAGCACTGCCTCGCGCTCTACGACTCCTAACCTCCACTGCTCTCTTTCAAACCACAAATCTTGGGGATTGAGCACCTTAACATTTCCGCTTCAATCCCTTCCCTCCAACCTTTCATTGGGCGCCCTCTGCGTCTTCTCCCAGGAGGAACCCAGTCAAGGACCTTCTTCGCCAACCTGTCTCCTGCCATTCTCTGGACATGACCATACCAAATGAGTTGTTTTGTCATAGTGTCATGCACGATGGTCTGTTTGGCATCCATGATCTCCCGTACCGTCTCATTCCTGACGCGATCCTTTCTGGAAATACCAGCGGATCTACGCCGGAAGTCCATCTCTGTTGCCTCTAAAACCTCCTTCTTAATTCGAAAATGTAAATATGCATCGGACGTAATTATGCTAAATGGAGCTCTGAGAAAGTGGACTGATGGGGTGTACTCGCTAGTGATCTGGCCATAAAAATGAATGGGGAATATGAAGCGCCAGTGACGTCAGCGGCAACGACCGAGACCGGGCACGACGGGGAGATCGGTGGCAGGACTTTTTGACTCATGAGCCCTGTCCACAAGGCTCTTGCATAGAGTACATAGAGTCGTAATGTAAGTGGGAGAGCAGGCGCCACTTTTAAGCATTTTCCATGTCCCGAATTCCGAGACTCCTGTGTGACGCCGG